CTCCCAAAGCCCCCCGGAATCTGGAGAGCAATGCGAAGTCTACATGCCGGTCTCTCATACTTGCCACCCAAGACTTTGGCCATCGGTCCCTTGGGAATTCAACCCACGCTTCAAGTCCTTTCATGAGGGCTTGAGTATATGCCTGCTTGCCATCAGCTTGCTCAGTATCGAAGACTGGTTGGGCACCATATGCGTCGACTGTCGTTCCCGCTTCCATTGTAGCCGGGGACGACCCGAGCTCACTAAACAAGGCCACTTCACTATTTTCATCACGGACGTTGTTCCCTTGGAACACAGTTCGTTCCTTGAACTTGCGAAGTGGGTGCGCGGATGGCAACTCGCTGCTTTTTTCGACACAAACCTCAAAGACCTTGCCAATGTGGACTTTGCGACCCTGTGTCTTGGCTTTTGCGCCGACCTGACGCCACTCTTGGACAGTATCACATCCTTCTTCTCTAGTTTAACGTGTTTAATCATTCAACATCAAGGGATGCCTGTACTCTGGAGCCTAGCAACCCTAACAAGCTTGTCGCGACGTCGTCTCTGAACACTGTACCCACACGTGGGCAGCATTTTGGGAGCGGGCTCACTTTCATTTGCTGATGATCCGGCATACCCTTCCGGTTTCCCAAAGTATGGCGACTTACCTGACCTCCATACAAAGTCATAACCTTGATCAACACATCTCACGCCTACGGACATCACAGGAGGCGTAGACTCTAGAAGATACGGGTCAAACTTGCAACCAAGAGTATCATTGTACACCTTTGCCTGCAGTGCTGACGAGCTGTGACCGTTTGCGGTAATGATAGCAATCGGCCGATCCGGCCGATACTGGAACTCATCCGGAATGTCATTTCTCGTCAACAGGTCCTGGGCACTGCCAGTATCGGCAATCCAGCGCTCGTGAGAATGATGGAAGTTGTCAGAAGTTTGACATGTGAGCACATCCCCGGATTGGCCTTAAGTGGCCCAAGCACTCCCTTTGAAGAAAATGGAGCAGTGCGCGTGTTTTCGCTGCCTTTGACATGGTAGCGGAGCCGGGCAAAGTCTCGGCTCCATGGGTTCCGCGCCACCTGATGCCATGCCATGGAGCGCTGGCCTTCTTCCTGCTGACGATTGGTGGCTGCGTTGAGCATTTGGACAACATCCCGGACAAGGAGGAGACCAAGGTCGACATCCCCTTCACGAACATGGTGGACTTGCAGGACTTCATGAAGGACGACAGGTTTAGAAGGGATTGGTGCCCTCGAGACGATGGTCGAAACCTGGAGTGGGACAGCATGGACTTTGAAGAGGAGAATATGAGGTGGCTTGGTACCACCAGGATGTGTGCTGCAGGTGACCTTCAGGCAGACCTTTTGGGGCGTGGTCGACATGAGGTTGACTTGAAGACGGATTTTTTTCCTTCGGGTCGAAGATTGGCGCTTTGACTTTTTGAGCCTGAACAATAGCAGCGCAGAAACTGTCCAAGATCGGTACTTGGGCTGTGCATGTGATGAGTCCATGGTTGTGAACAGCAGCTACTTCTTTAAGAATGTCAAGCTGATTGAATATCACTTGGGTGTGTTGGTCTTCGACCTTGAGCACTACTCAACGATCCCGCAGACAGTGATGGAAAAGGATGGGGTGACATGATCCTCTTCGTACTGGTTGGAGTCGAGATGATGTATCGATTCCAGAAGGGACCTAGAAAGCTGAAGAAGAGGTTTGAGGAGCCCAAGGGCCACTTGAGCAAGGCTCGGAGGTGGAATGGACATCTTCGAACTCAGTTTGAATTCAGAATGAAGCTGAGGAGTGCTTTGTTTTTGACTTTGTGGACGACAGGGCAAGCCATGGATGGAGAACAGGTGCAACGCATGTTCGCTCATATGATGCAGCTGACCGAAGCGACGGTGGCCGCAGCAAGATCTTCGGCTGCGGTTGCAGAGAAGCTGGACAAGAAGGACTATAAAGGAGGTTTTGGTGAAGCCAGCAAGGTCTTACGTGCACCTGAAGCTTTTGAAGTGGATGACCCTCTTCGCTTCGTGAGCTGGTCTGACAATTTCAAGAATTGGCTGACTTACGGAGATCATCGATACGTTGAACTTCTGAAGCAGGTTGAAGAACTGGATGAACCCTGCACTTTGGCAGAGTTTGCCTCGGACAAGGTGGTTGAACTTGGCCATCGACTCTATGCCATCCTAGCCTGTGAAAGGGCCTGCTGCCCAGCAACTTCGCAACTTGTACCTCCCTCGTGAGTGACATGTCCATGGCGGCAAATGACGCGGAGCAATACTACGGGCCTATGGCTATACGGCTGATAACCTATAGTTATAGGCAAACAGCCAACAGTGCACACCTTTTCCTTGAGCCAAAGCGGTCGAGGTGTGAGGTATATATACATAAGTGCACAGTGCTTATTTAGAAACTACAATACGGGCTGTTTCCATGCAGGTGTCCGCTCGTAAATTTCATTCGTGAAGGACCATGAATATGACCGGGGCCAACAATGCGCCATACCAGGCCCCGCTTTCATTCCAGGAGAACCCACGTCTGGGTGCACAAAAACGTTGACTATAGAAACAACAACCATTACAATATACGAAGGCAACATTGAATGTCATCTCGTTGGGTTCATGTTATGATATGCTCAACGACGGAGGAAGTTTGGCCCGCATGTCTTGCAGCGCCGTCTCCCGCACAAAGATTGCAACCACGAAGCCGTCCCGCGTGATGGCAGTTGGCACTGGGCACTTGCCGCCCACACCCACTTGAAAACCAACCAGATGGGGGGGGCTGAGGAGGAGATCAAGACTTACGGCCTTCCTGTTCGCGGCTGCCGTGACATTACTAACGTGTGACGTGACAATAGCAATTTTGCATCATTTTGCGCCTAGCATCTCCGTGGACGGGTTCCACGAAGTATAGGCAACCAAGAGAATTTTTGGCAACATCACCCCGCTTTGGACCTCTCAGCAATGCTTTTGGGACTTTGACGGGCGGATTGGGAGCCTGGCGCAAAGGGGGTTGGGGGTGTGCCGCCCGCAAAACGTTGTTCAAGCCATGACGTGTCAGCACATGTCTTCGACGGAGTTTGTTTCGGCGGAAAGTGTTCCAGAACCTGCAGCAGTGGGAACTTGTTCCGGAACTCGCTCCTGCTCTGGAACATAGTCCGGAACGCGCCCCAGAATATTTTCCTGCTTTGGAACGAGCTTTTTGGAACCTGCTCCAAGGGACCGTGCTCCCCAACCTGCCCTAGAATCTCCTCAAAAAAGGTGCTCTGGAACCTCCTCTGGGGGGAACCTCCGGAACCTCCTCTGGAAGTTGCTCGCCAAACTGCTCTTGAACGTGCACCGGAACTTGCTGAGAACTTGCTCCGAAACCTGCTCCAATCTGCTCCGAGGTCTTTGCTTGACCTGCAAGCTTCGCTGTTGGGGAAAAACAGGGGGGTTCACTTGTCTCCGGCTGAACCTCCCACAACCAACACAGGAGGAACTCGAGTTGGCTAGCGCACCTAGCACTAGTTAGTCTTCATGAAAGCCCCTGAGAAGGTCACGCTTTTGGGAAGAAACTGGGCAACGGCAAGGACCTTGCTGAGAGGCAAGTCGCATCAAGAGGGTGGTTGATAGCTTCGTCGCCATTACCGAATTGAACGCGGCAGAACGCAAAGAACAGCTGCAAATGACTGCAGGTGAAACAAAGTGTTGCTGGTATTCCGCGAACGGCGCAAGGGACGGAAAAGATGCCCGCCCTGGATCGCAGGCGAGGCACATCAAAACGGTTGCACTGCGTCAAAGGCACATGCATGACACAAATGGCGATGATGGCGATGGGGGTAGACCAGGCCCCACTTTCGGTCACACGCGCCACTGAGGCCGCTGTCGGTGATCGTCGAAATGATCGGGTCAGAGCTCTGGTGGTGTGCAAAGTCACTCCCAAAAATAACAAACACATAACCTTTGAGCCCCTCTACACTGTACTGTACAAAAGCGTGTGTTACACTGTACTATACAGGTGCCATGTCAATCAAAAAATGGTGGCGACACGCTCTAAGGTCGTTTTGCAAAACCCGTCGTGATGCTCTTACAACGCTGATTAGAGAAGTGAGCGGAACCTGCATGACAGCCTTGACGCATGCCACGCGTTCGCCACTGCAAAAAAACATGTAAAAATATATATGTCAAAATTGTCCCTTTTGGCAGGTCAAAAATCTCAGCCAACAAGTTCATATATCCAAAAATTGAGCGCAACATCTGTGGTGAGCCAAACAATGCAAATCGCAAAGTCCGTCGTCGGATGCTGGCGCTTGAATCGCGAACCGGAACTCATATATAGGTGTTCTTTTTTGCGACTTGTGGTTGCTTGCTTCGACACCAGGGGGAGGGCTCATGAAGTCACAAACCGCTGCAGTCGACTGCCAGGCTAGAACCCGACTGAGACGCCTGTCTGGTTCTGCAAACAGCAAGGAGTCAAGGCATGACGAACCTGGCCATTGGCAAAGAGCAACATCTCAACATCTCACTCCAACAAAGACGCGCACAGCGGGGTTCAAGCAAGCAGACTTGTATGAACTGTGACAGCGTTGCTTGAACTCTAGGTGCTCCGAATGAGGCTGCAAACGCGAAGCAGAACTCAAACGCAAGGTGCATGGATGTCTCCAGGATGCAGCGGGGACTGAGATGCTGGGAGACTCAACTAGAAAGAATGCAAGAAGCCCAAAGCTGCTCATGACAAGTTCTTCTGCAGAAGCAGCAGCGGCTGCCAATGTGTTGCCTCATAACAATTCCAAACCGTGCAAGGATGCAAAAGCTCAGGTGCAAAGGCAAAGGGTTACGAGCAGGGAATATATATATATATATACTATATGTGTGTGTGTGTGTGTTTGTGCGTGCGTGTTTCTTTGAACAATCAGGAACAGGTTGCAAATTGAATCAACATCTCCTTGCACGTGTTCACCAACAGGTTTAGGACAAAAGCCTCTGCAGTTGTTCAACGGTGCAGCCTTTTCTCAGAGTTGGGAGCTGGATTCGAAGAGTGCAAAGCTATTCGGGAAGTGCAAAACTATTCGGGAAACAAATCATTCGGATGTGTTTCGCAGATCCAAGCAGCTGAAAGTTGAAAGCATCTCTTTTTCTCGCGGATTCATTCCACTATGACGATGCGCCAGCGCCGCTTTCGCACGCCTTCTGTCCTGAGTTGCAAAATGCAGTCTTGAGATACGCGCCTTGATGGAGTGATTTCTACCAACCTTGTTATAACATGTATTTAACATGTATTAATTAAAGACGTTGCCGAAAAGACAGAGGTACTAGACAGCTTTCTAGTAACTAGAACCTGCTAGTAACAAGGGCATTTCTAGTAGCAAGAAGCTACTAGGTGGAGGCCATCGCTAGTAGTAACAATAAAGCTTTCTAGTAACTAGAAGCTCCTAGTAACAAGGGCATTTCTACTAGAAGCAAGAAGCTACTAGGTGGAGGCCATCGC